TTTTTATTCTGTATTTGCTCTTTTGGTCAATATAAAAATTATTGCATTATTTTCTATCATTTGGATAAAAATATAGTATATGATTTGGAATAATCTAGATATTTTTTTCTACTTTTTTCTCAATATTTTCTAACTAATTTTTTTCAAAGAGCATTGCTAGAAAAGTTGGAAATTTGATCTTATATATAGGAAAAAAATTAGTTGAAAGCATTCATTACTCTTTTTTTCTAAGAAATAACACGAGTTGAAATTCATTAAAAAAGTTAGATGTGGTTATAATAAATCTTATGCATTGTAGAAAGATTATCGTTTATAAATGCTTCTTATTGAATAGTGCTGACACCACGAAGAATGTGTCGACACCATAGACGTGTCGGATTTCCTTCAATGGGAAAATAGCAGATTTGGTTCCTCAGCTTTTATATCTCATAACTTAAGATTCATTCATTTAGATCCCAAAAGGAACTATTGTTCTGGTAATTTAATCCCTTAACTTTTAAAAAATATTTAATTAATCACAAAACTCTATTTATTATGCATTGAAATCCTTTATACGTAGAGAATGAAAACTTTTTACATTTTTTATTAATGATCATTTTTAGTTATATAAAGATTTTTTTTTTATCTTTTTGATGAATTGATATGTTTATTAATATGGTTATTTATCTTTTTTCTTTTATTTGGGAAAAAATGTAGTATATGATTTCAAGTACTTCATATATTTTTTATATATATATTTTTTAATTTCGAACTAAGTTTTTTTTTTCCTAACGCATTGTTAAAAAATGGAAAATTGATCTTATGTACATTGACACAGTAGTCAAAAGCATTAATTAAATAGTAGTTAATTTATTATTAATTTATGGTAGTGAGGGTATACTTACAGTTGTAAAAATCATAGGTATAAGTTAGTGTTATACCCATAATTATATGTGATTGAAGGTATATCTATTGTGTATACCTACGGTTTTTTAGATCTATAAGTAAATCTTAAATTCATATACTCACGAATTATATACTGTAACTAATAGTTCTTCTATATATCTACACCAATTGAAATTGCGTAGGTATAGTATCATTTTTCCTACGGTTGTTTTGTGGATGTAGCTATAACTTATCTATATACCCACAAAATATATATTGTAACTAATAGTTCTTCTATATACCTACACCAATTGAAATTGTGTAGGTATAGTGTAATTTTTCCTACGGTTTTTTTGTGGATGTAGCTATAACTTATCCATATACCCACAAATTATAAATCATAACTAATAGAACCCTATACCTATAAAATAGTGAGCGTAGGTGAAAAAAAGCGTAGCTAAATGGCAAAAATGCTGTAGTGCATAAGCCAAAGAAATCACATACACAGCAATAGCAACTTAGATAATAATAAATTCTAAGCCAAAAACATGATACACACAAAAATAGCAACTAGCATAAGGCCTCTTGTTTCCTTAAACCAAGTACACAAATATATACTCACAAGTTATTTAATAATTGCTGGGTTAGGTACTATATGTAGGCTTTTGAGTATTTGGCTAAGTATTAAGTCTAAAAAGTTATACCTAAAATTTTTCAAATCAGATACCAAATATAGCCTATACCCGATTTGTACCCAAAAATGTTCACCCCTAATATAAACTTGTAATTTGATTTTATTTTAAATTAGGGAAGAAAACAGTCTTAGAGGCCCATCTAGGAATTTAATCTTAACTTTTCACAAAGTTTCTCGATCTTATAATTTGACAAGGACATTAGTAGACATTCCTTGAGTCAAAATCACCGAAGGAAATTTATTTAAGGCTATCGTGTCGTGCAATTTTCCAAGCATGAGAAAATATTTTTCATTAGTAAAACGAGAAACCAAATAAGCAATAAGCAACCTCTTTATTATGTTGGCAAGTATATCACATGGAAGCGATGATCAAATAGAGGTATAACGCTCAAACCCAATCCAGACCCGCAACTATTAAAACATGACTAGCTCAGGTCTTTTTCTATATTAATTCCATTAGAAATGAGACTGGAGGTACTTGATGACATTCTTGTCCAGCATGAAAGCCTTAGTAAGAACATCAGGATTAATACGTGGATTGGATCC